TTATTAGAAAGCGCTCAATATCAGAGATAGAGCTAACATATTTGGTTGGATAGATGTGAGTTTGTGACCCTGGGTTTCACGCTTTAGCGATTTGTCTGACGATCGCTAAAGCGTGAAACCCACGCTCACAAACTCACATCTATCCAACCATATATATATATATATATATACACTAAGGAAGGTATGCAGTCAGGGTTATCAAAGTGCGTATAAGCAAAGTGCGTATAAGCAAAGTGCAGCATTTTGCTCTTTCCGAAAGTAACTGCCCATAGTCACAAGACCGGCAATAGAAAAGATCTAAATCTGTAAATGGAATGTAAACATTCATACAAGCGGATGACACTATAAATTCACATATTCTTCAGGTAGAAATTGATTTTACGAGAATAACAATAAAGTAATCTCCAAATTATCCACTGAATTATTTCTAAAATAGACAATATATATATATATATATATATATATATATATATATATATATATATATATATATATATATATATAATGGAAGAAAATATTTCCATTCAAAACAATAATTCCATTAGGCAATATAAGGTTTAGAGACATTTTCCGGAGCCATTTTAGGAAACATATCTCTTAATGGTGGAAGATTCCATTGTTGTATATTAATATGGTTTAAGTGATATTTAAACATTTTTAAAACGCAAAATATATTATTCCAGTTCCAAATCCTTTCAAATTAAATTTAGATTCGATTTGGGGAGGAGTACCTCATTTGGAAGGGAGTACCTGACAGGGCACAAAAGATAACACTTGTTATTAATGTTTGGGTGACTTAAATAATTGTGTATTTCTAACGGAACCCACACACTAACATTGGAGGTGAGGTTGTAGGTGAACGTTTGGGTTATTGTGAGTTTGTATTGGAAACACGTGTGTAGCTTCTGGTGGAATATTAAAAGGTCCAACTACAAGAAAATGGCCGGACTTGAATTAAGTCCAACTGAAGATAAAGATGACAAACAAGACCGATATATATCTGTATATATATATATAAACAAATATATGTATTAAACAAAACAATTTTACAATGTACATTCGTGTGTGTGTAAGCATTGGTGTCTCTTTGGTGAATGTTCGTATTTTGGTGAATGTTCGTACGTACGTGTATGCGTGTATAATGTTCATGGCGTCTCCCAAAAATGGGAAGACGCGGATCTTCTAAGAGAGCTTACATTGAAGTCGCTGAAATGAAAAAGAGAACGAGGCGAGAAGTCGCCCAGTATTTATAGTATAGGGAGAATGACCCCTAGTGACAATTTGGAAATTCAGGAGGAGCTAACTCTGATAGGGTTAAAGGAAAATCAGCTATTTCGGATTATGATTTTCAAGGCAGGTATACCTTCTCTGAAATGTAAAAACTAGCAAAGAACAATCTCCCTTGCAGATTTTTGCTTGTAAAAAAATCGGCTTCTTACACGAATCTTACTGGTGACTTCTTTTTTTAATATTAAAAGTAATCAAATTTTAGAAATGGAAAAGGTCAACAGAAATCATGGAAACACGAAAAAGGTGTCGGTCTAATACACGCCCTTCTGTCGTCAATCAGAATTAATGCCTTTAATCAGAATATATACCATAGTTATGCATTATAATTTTTATTTAATCAAAAATTACACTGAAATATTTTGGAAAATTATAAAAAAATTAATCGAAATCGAGAAAATACGAATTTTAAGCAAAAAAAACGCGCTTAAACTCGCATCAGGCGCATATGATTTAAATAAATTAATAAAAACTTTGCTAGAGACATGGAAGTTGACTCAGATCGCATGTGTTCAGCTTAAACTGACATCTTATTTTGTATATATCTAAACTATATTCATAAATTTATCTAAACTATTTTTTATAAATTATAATTTAAGAAATAAGAAAATTAGCTGTGATATCTTAGAAACTTTTCATCTGAAATAAAAAAAAATGGACTCTAAACAAAGTCATCAAAATGATTTGAAAAAAAAGGGCTGTTCTCGATAATAATTGTGTCTGTTATTCTTGATAATTTCTACTGAAGTAAGTAGGCACGGTGGAGTAATGGATAACGACTCGGACTGAGGAATCTGCGATCATAGTTCGAATTCCAGTCGAATCCACGGCTAACACCCTTAGGAAAGATATGAATCCTTTTCATAATAGCAGAACCGGATTCTTATAACCCTGGATGGCGATTACCGCAGAAAGAAATGGCAACCTACTGCTGGAAAAAAATCTTCTTCGTCAGTCATGTATTGAAAGATACTTGATCGCCTAAGCGTGTATTACGGATGGCACATAACTGACTGAAATGGGAGTCAATTTTTCAATGATTCTTTTTGTCAGAATAAAAGTCATTGAATCTTTGGCGAAGAATAAAAATATTACTCTGAAATTATTTAAATTAAAAATTACAATGTGTATCACACCCGAAATAACTTACGATCTTTTTCCCAAAACTTATTATTTTGATGCGTAAATAAAAATTTGTTTAAAAAACATTAAAAATGGTTTGATGGCGACCAACTGAATGGGAAATGAATGGTAACTTCATTCGCCATGTGATGAAAAATGGCTTCCATACAAAAACGTCCAATTCAAAAGGTAATTGCTTAGGAGAAATCTCCACAAAAGAAACACTAAAAGCACTTCTCCAGAGAATAAAATTTGCATTCTTTACATTATTCGGACTGCTATCACCATATTCATTACCATATTCACAAAGTTTCGGACGTTGTACGCTCTGGCCTTCTTCAGGTGATTGGCATTTCGACCCAAAACTTTTATTTTGTCCACTGTAAACCTGATTTAAGAATTCATTGAAATGAAAACCTTCGGAATTTTATTCGAAAGGTATCCAAGAGCTACCTAATAAGTGGCAACGGTTCATTGCATAAAAACGGGAAAATATTAAATTGAATAAAATGTAATAGATAGGTTCGTCTATCGCCCGGTTTACACTCCTCCCTTTCTTTTGTACAGGAGTAGAGGATTATCACTTGTTTTCTGTTTAGAATTAGATTTTCAGCTCCTTCTAAAATAAGCACCGTCAGACATTCGCTAAAAAATGAGCACACATGATGAAAATATGCCCCAAACTTAATAAAAACAAAGTTTTATTGTAAAAAGCTTTACGTTGTTATTAAGATAAAAGATCATTTTTTTTTTTTAATTATTAAATTATGTCTTTTAATCATTTCTATAACCTTCAAAATTTTTGTTATTTTTTTCTTGCGTCAGAGGGTGACCATGAATTAGGATGGGGAAATTTTAACATTTTTTTTTGTGGATAAAAACAGATTGATTTGGAAATTCTTGTCAAAATCAAATAATTGTCGGGTGTTAATGAATAAAATTAATATTGTCACTAATTACACTAAATAACTGTTATTACTATTAGTTGGCGTGCAATTCTAAAGAAAACAGCGACAACGCCAAAAAACTCCACAATTGGTCTGAGTTCATGGTTCTTTCCAAAATCTATTTCAACTCTAGACTTCCTAACAATTCCTAACAGCATGAAATTCTATTCACTTATTATTTATTCACCAAAACACTCTTCCGTGGATTTTTGAACAAGATTTGTTTCTTGGTTAGAATTATTTCTTCCGGTTCCGGCTCGTTCTAAAGTTTTGTGAGTTGTTTTTTTTTTCTTTCTCTTTCATTTCTAATAAGCCCTTGCGTCTTATTCATGTTATCACCTTGCTTTGTGGTGAATTGACTTAAAAAAAAAAAAAAAACTGGAATGAAAAGGAATTTGGTCACATTTTACTAAATATTCCAAATCGTATACTCCGAGAACTTGTACTTAGCACGAATCAATTATATTATTTAAATTCAAATACGGCTTGTGGAACTCAGCTAGGTGGTACGCTAACATTTTGTTTATATTTCTGAGATGAGGTATTATGTACACTATTTATATTATTCGGACGATTGTCCTCATCTTTGTCGCCATATTTATTACAACATTTCGGCCCATCAGTGTTTGTCTATATTTCTGAGATGAGGTATTATGTACACTATTTACATTATTCGGACTATTGTCCTCATCTTCGTCGCCATATTTATTACAACGTTTCGGCCCTTCGGTATCTGTCTATATTTCTGAGATGAGCTATTCTGTAAACTATTTACATTATTCGGGCTAATGTCCTCATCTTCGTCCTCATATTTATTACAACGTTTCGGCCTTTCAGTATCTGTCTATATCTGTCTACGTTTCGGCCATTGTACGCTCCGGCCTTCTTCAGGTGGTTGGAATGTCGAACTGAACCGTTTATTTCGCTCATTGGGGTAGACTGTTCTAGTCCCACGTGCCATGTTTCAATAGATGTCAGTTATCAGTTATCTCCTGTTAATTCCCCTCTCAAAGTTCTCCACTGGCTTAACCGGGTATTGAACTCACCGATCTTTTGGTCCTGTCGCTGGATCTAACCGACGCCTTTATCCACTGTGCCATGTGCCCTACTTGAACAAGGTCGGAGCGTACAACAGCCGAAACGTTGTAATATGGCAACAAAGATGAGGACAATATCCGAATAATGTAAATAGTGTATACTAATATTTTGTTGTCGACTACGACTACTTGTACTTAGTTTAACTCTTCCAATAAATTTAAATAGGAGGGCTTTACATATAATGTCGAAGTATCTGAGAGTCTAAATTTTCCCCAGACGCCGACAACTAGTGTAGCAATCCTAAGTGCAAAATGCTGTCATGTTGCATGTAATTGAAATGACTTAGAGGCTATAAAATAATCTCAGAAGAACATGCATGCGCACGTAATATTTTTTAAACTAAATACAGAAAGAATGAGAGAGGAAGAATGAAAGAAAGAGCGTGAGAAATAAAGAAAGAACGAGTAAGAGTAAGAATTATATAAAGAAAGAAATGTTGAAAGAATGAAAAATAGTTATATAAAATAAAACGAGAAAAAAAATGGTTCCATATATTCCTTTTTTCTTTATTATTGCCAGAATTAGGAAAATTAATGGAGTGCACACGTAATATTTTTGAAATGAAAGAAAGAAAGAAGTAAAGGCAGAAAAAAGAAAGAATGGATGAAAGAGAGTGCAGGAGAAATAGAGAAAAAAGAAAGAAAGAATGAGAGTGTGTGAGAAAAATAGAAAAGAAAGAAAGAATGAAAGAGAGTGCTTGAGAAAGAGAGAAAAAGAAAGAAAGAATGAAAGAGAGTGCTTGAGAAAGAGAGAAAAAGAAAGAAAGAATGAAAGAGAGTACGTTAGAAAGAGAAAAAAGAAAGTAAAATGAAAGAGAGTTCGTGAGAAAGAGAAAAAAAAGAAAGAAAGAATGAGAGTGTGTGAGAAAAGTAGAAAAGAAAGAAAGAAAGAATGAGAGTGTGTGAGAAAAATAGAAAAGAAAGAAAGAATGAAAGAGAGTTCGTGAGAAAGACAGAAAAAAAGAATGAAAGCCAACGCGTGAGAAATAAAGAAATAAAGAAAGAATGAAAGAAAGAACGAAAGAGAGTGTGTGAGAAAGAGATAAAAAGAAAGAAAGAACGAAAGAGAGTGTGTGAGAAAGAGAGATAAAAAGAAAGAAAGAACGAAAGAGAGTGTGTGAGAAAGAGAGAAAAAAGAAAGGAAGAATGAAAAAGAGTACGTGAGAAAGACAGAAGAAAGAAAGAAAGAAAGAAAGAAAGAAAGAAAGAAAGAAAGAAAGAAAGAAAGAAAGAAAGAATAAGAGTCTGTGAGAAAGAGAGAAAAAGAATGAAAGAAAGTGCGTGGATGAAAGAAAGCCAAAATGATAGAACGAGTGGAATAGAAATAAATAAAGAAAATATTTATTTAAAATAAAATGTGAAAAAATTTATTGCCTGAATTTATTACATTTATTATTCTATTAAGAATCGGGAAAGAGAGAGGAGTGCACACGTAATATTTCAGAAAAGAAAGAAAGAAAGAAAGAAAGAAAGAAAGAAAGAAAGAAAGCGAGTGAGTGATAAAAAAATAGAGAAATAAAGCGAGTGAGTGAGAAAAGCAGAAAAAGAAAGTAAACAAGAAAGAAAGAAACAATGAATTATCATATATAGAATAAAATACGATTAAAATATTCTATATACGCCTTTTTTATTATCTATGAATCGCCATAATAAGCCACGATACTGAAGTCATTTCTCATGATTCTAGTATTTACGTAACCTCTAACTCTGGTACAATTGTTACCGGACTAGTTTAGCAACAATTATATACTAAATTTGATCCTCAGTTGACTTATATTTTTTGGCTCGAGTAAACAATCTTTACTAAATAACTTTTACAATAGCCGCCATTAGTATCTTTGAATTTTTTTTTTATTTTTTTATTTTTTTTTTTTTTTTTTTTAGAAATCGTCGCATTATGATTGCAGCGACCTGGAATATTGATCGGGATGGACTTATGACTTTCGGAAGACTATTAACCTTTACGTGACACGAGGAGAAACGACCTCGTACGCTGTCTGCGAACTGTTTTCAAATCATTTACGCTGATGACCTTTAAGAATGCGACATGTAATCACGACTAGGGACAAGCTGACCTACTTCATCAGATTCTTTTCGACGTCGCTTTTCGAAGTAACAGTTGTACGTGATTACCTGCATAGTGTTTGTTGCATTTAGCTTTTCGATCATCATAACTAAGATCATACTGAAAGCCTAATCCTAAATCTGATTTAAAGTGGATTAGAGAAAAAAATAAACAATATCCCGTTAATCAAAGCGTGTTGCTTCACGTGTTACAGTCACAAGAAGCAAGATGTAATTTTCGCATGCAATTTGTGATTGTTAACTACGCCAGCAGATCGCGGTTATCAAACACTTGTTGAAGTAAAATTCAGATATCCTCTTTTCTTAAGAAAGACTAATATTTCACTTTCGATTAGATATCCAAGCTTCAGTGTAGGATTTCAATTTCTGAATGTGGTATTTTTATTGAACGAATTAGAGTCGATGAAAAGAACTTTTTTTTTTTAAATACTCAAAACAAGGCAATAAAACCCCTAAGATGCAAGGTTTTACTGAGAATTTGAGAATCTGCAAAAAATATTATTGGTAAAAAAAGACAATAAAAGAACAGCAATTTTGACAAGTAAAATAATGAATTCTAGCTGCCAATCTAGTACAGCGTATAAATTCGAGAAGTTGAGACAACAAAACGAAAGCTCATACATACAGTCACCATGAAAATATCTACGAGGGTCATTAAATAAATATGGTGAATTTTTGGGTATAAGGACTTCTAATACAGATAGAAGCTTAATTTTTTAATTTTTTACTTCTTTTTCACATGGATTTAATTTCTTTTGCTGATTAAAAAAAACTTTGAGAGTTTTGGCGATTAACAAAGATGGCCGACCAAGAAGCATGCTCCAGGATTGAACAGCGGTCAGTTATCAAGTGTTTGGTTGCTGAAGGGTGCAAACCAGTTGAAATTCATAGGAGAATTTTCAGCCAAAAAAATGTCTACAAGTGGGCTAAATTGTTTAAAGAAGAGCGGAGCAGTGTTGAGGATGAAGACAGGCCTGGGAGGCTTACAGAAGTGAGGTCCCCTGAGGTGATCGAATCAGACAATGTCCTCATTCAATCTGACAGAAGAACTACTGTGGACTGCTGAGGCAGGTCAAGAAAGACATAAAGAACAAACGCAGGGGTCATCAGTCAGAAGCAGTCATCTTGCATCATGACAACGCAAGGCCTCACACAGCAGCCCAAACGGTGCAGACCATCAACGAACTGGGCTGGGAACTGCTCCCTCATCCCCCTTACAGCCTGGACCTTGCCCCTGCAAACTTTCACCTGTTTGGTCCCTTGAAAGCATTCCCGAGAGGCACGAAGTTTAAAAGTGACGATGAAGTCAAAAGTGTTGTGAGCGACTGGCTGAGACATCAGTCCAAAGATTTTTACGCTGAGGGAATACGGAAGCTTGTGCACAGATGGGAAAAGTGTGTGACAGTGCTGGGAGACTACGTTGAAAAATAAATAAAAAAGTAAGCTTCTATCTGTATTAGAAGTCATTATACCGAAAAATTCACCTTATTTATTGAATGACCCTCGTATATAAAGCAAGAGAAGTTACGTTATAGCTGGTAGGAAAGTTATTGAAGCCGAGGTGTCAAGTCAGGTCCAATAATATCACAGATTCTTCTCTGATTTTTTCCAAGAGTCTCTAGATACATACCAGCATAAGCACCAGACCAGATGTGATAACAATATTCATTGCATGAACAATTCGTAGACTTATAAATCTCTCTTAAGCTCTAAAAAAAACGATTACAGTTTGCCGGTCACTGCAAACAAGCGGATAGGGAAATCATCTCATCGTTACGCCTATGGCATCCTTCTGGAAGGGTTTTCTCACGAAAATTGACTTTCCCAGATACCATAGCTCGGGACTCACTGTTGGACATTGGGGATCTGGCGACATCAATGCTGGAGCGAACAGTGTGGAAAGGGATTGTCGATGGAGTTTCGACAAAACATAGTGAGGTCGAAGGATGATAATGAATGTGTAGATAAACATCGTCTAGAATGAAATGGTCAGCTAACCGTTCAAGAAGCAGACGTAACAAATGAGTTTGTATAGTATTTCCAATTCAGGAGTAGAAAATGTTTAAACTACAGGAAAATTCACAATTGCAATCGGAAAGTGAGAGTTTCAGTTTCTAGCAAAGCTAATAAGAAAAGAACGCTTGGAAAATTTAACACTCACTAGACATACCAAAGGTAAACGAAGCAGGGGAAATGTCGTTTTTTAGCAAATGGATGAGAGAACAAAAAGGAGAATTACGGCTAGTGAAAGATCAAAATTGCCATTAAAAAGAAAAAAAAATCCCTCATTAATTTGTAATATGAAATATCTTGATGCCGGTAAATTCTGGAGAATCTGTTGACCAGGCAATTAATGGGAATCCTATTTTGCTACACAATGTAGATTTTTTCTAATGACGCAGGTAAAACATGAACATTTTTTATAAACTTTCTTATATATATATATATATATATATATATATATATATATATATATATATATACTAGCAGCATGGCCCGGCGTTGCCGTGCTTAATTCCAAAATCGTACGACTCATACAGCAATCGCTATCACTTGACTTAAAATATGTTTGCCCTTCCTTGCCTTTTAACGGAGTGCCCTTTGCCGTGCTGATGTTGCTACATGCCTTACTTCTTGCCTATCTCACACTGCGAATTTTTTCTAAGCTCTATACTAAACATAAAATCTGTTACGAAAAAAGAATTAAACAAAATGAACACAAAACGGTCAGCTTTAAAAAAAAAAGGACTCGTAACTGGAAAAACCGAATTAAAAAAGAATGTTAACAACAAATATGTTTTCACACTCAACCCAGTTCTGCGGAATCAGAATCAACGTTGAGTTTAAGCAAGCGAATGAGCCAATTGGAGTAAAGTGCCATGCAGATTTAAATTTTTTACATTTGTGACGAATGCAGCTATCGATTTTTTTTTTTTTTTTTGCATGCTAGCATGCTAGTTAACATTCGTGGCAGTAAGCTATAGGCTCTCACTCTGGCCAGTACAAAATGGCCGCAAACTACATGAAAACTGCCGTAGAAGCATGCAAAAATCAATTATTTCCACTATCAATGGAAGTTGGGAAATGCTAAGTCGGTCTTAGCCTTCCCGCTAACTTGGAGCATGTGCATGTAAATTTTGGTGCAAATCCTTCGAAAATTGTGGCCGTGAATTCGTTACACACCCACACACACGCAAACACACACATCCTGCCTTTTATATATATATATACAAAGAGCCTGTAGTGGTTCCAACGAGAGAAAAGTATGTATATTAAAAAGAAGAGAAGAGAGGTGCCGCAAACGTTTTTGGTTGTAAAATATGTTAAATATTCTCGATATGAGACATTTTCTGTGTTAGTAATCCGAATTTCTTTCTTGAATTTGCAATGAAGAGTTCTGCGCGAAGGGTCATAGAAAAATTATGGTTGGTCCAAGCGGAATGATGAATTGCTTATCGGCATTTTATCTTTTAATGTTTTACTGACCCCTATGTGTTCTTGGATCTGTTTCCATTTTCTTGTGTTTCTGTCAGCATGCATGTATATATGCGTGCGTATATTCCCCCTCCATACATATACTGTCTTACTAAGAGGAATTAGTAAACTCATTTGTACATATACACGCATACACACACATACGCACATAAACACAATCCCACCACAAGGAATCAGTACATACACACACATACACACACACACACATATACACACATACTTTCCAACCTACATAGAACCAGTATACACATACACATATGCACATACATACACACACATACGTACCTACATACACACGTACTTCCTGAATTGTGTGGGGTTTGGGTGCGTGCTCGTGAGTAGTTCCCCTGTTTTGTCAACATGCGTATATATATATATATATATATATATATATATATATATTTATATATATATATAAATGTGTGCATACATATATATATACCCTCGTGTCTCCCGTATATGAGCGTGCGTTCATGTATGTGAGTGATTTGATCATTGTATTTGGTCACCTTGTGTGCATGTTGTGTGTTTTTTTTTTTTTTTTTGGGGGGGTTATGATCTATTTAGTTCGGGTTTAAATTTGTTTATAAAGTTTTTTTCCTGTATTTGTAGATACGAGTAATTGTCTGTTTGATATATCGGCATGATATTAAATTTACCCTGGT